AAAGCCGCTATTTCCATCTTGTGGAAATAAAATCCACATGCATTACACACACGGTTGGGTTGTTAGCATCTAGAGTTTTCACAGTTTTCACAGTTCTTAGATGTTAAAAGTAAAATAAACCTCTTAAGGAAACACACCTAAGTAACATAAGTGCATTTTATAACTCTTGCTGCTTGAACAACTTCTGTTACAGGATGTACAGAGAATATTTGGCCCTTGCTAAACCATCAAACCTCTTGTAACCCTGTGAGTGATGTGGTTAAGCACTGAGCACTTTAATTAATGATCTCTCCCATCTTAGTTGTAGCAACACAACTAAACAATGGGACAACTTCCTGATAAATCTTTTTCTCCCTTAAATTTGAAATAAATGTTTAATGCATGTTTTCATGTTGGACTGCTTTCAGTCTTCACAGCTACTCAAGTTAATGCATCCAACCTTGTACTTGTATATCAATGACAAAGCCCAGCACAGCCAATCACAGCATGTCTCTGACCGTGACAGCTGAGCTGTGCTATAAGACAGGAGAGAAAAGCATTAAGAGAGGAGAAAAGCAGTAAGTGATGACAAACAAACGCCTCGGCCAAACGTAAAGACAAGATTAGTAGTAGCTGGATATTTCATCTCAGGTAACAAGGTACTACACAGAGTATGTGGTAAGATTATTAGTCTTGTTTACTTACTAATTAATCAAATAATTCCTGATTTATTTGACTATTTTCTTATACTGCACATATGTAGGTGTTCGTGTATCGCTGTTTGTGTTAGAAAAATACACCTGGTGCCTTTAAGAAACTATTTGGAAAAAAAAACATGTTTATAATCAGTAATATAACCATTAAAAAAAAAGTATTGTTTTGATAATTGGAGCTAAACCTCCAGAGTATATTCTGGCCCCGGGATTGTGAAGAAAAAATCAAACAATACCCAGGCCTAGATCAAAGCTGCACTGGTAGTAGAAAAGGCAGGAAGAGGGAATCATCAGAGGCTGTGTTAAATCTCCAACGTGCATTTATGCCTGTAAACTTATCAGAAGCAGATCTCAGTTCCTCACAAAATATCCGCTGCACTTTTTTGTGCCGTTAGTAACTTCTGGGAAGACTAAAAAGTCAACAGTTATTTCTGAGAAAGAAAGAGAAACTGTGTTGTTAATAGTTTTGTTTTGAGCCTGCTCATGTCCTACAATTAAACCGTGCACTGCTGCAATGTCACAGAAAAACACCCTCACAATACAAAACCTATTCCATTCTCTTTTTATTGCTCACTGCGAATTATCGGTTCATGATGGCATGAAAGGAATATAACCAGCTACAATCATGAATCTCTCTTGTGGGAATAACAGGCTAGAAGGAAGGTTTATCTGTTTTTTGGAAGCCGCCACGTTCCCAGTTCCTGTTTCAATACAGTGAAGCTTTACGACCCACACCACAGATTAGCTGCTTAACGTAAATATACATATACTTAACATCTCGATTCATCCCTTACCTTTACCAGTGCTTACAGATAGACTCCAAAACTTGTATATATCCATTAATTTATATGTATTAACAAGCAAGTGTGACACTAGTGAGCTGAAGTGCATTAAAATACAGTCATGGCATAAAATTCGTTGCTTTCCGTGCACCGTCTTGTCCTGAACAGGTGCGACTCGACAAGCCACAACAAGCTCATCATCGTTTTTAATTAGCCGGGTATGGTGAGGAAAACATTACATTCTGCACTTGAGAGGCGGACAAATTATTTTCCACCCACCCACGCACACGTACACACACACACGCTGCATCGTCAGACTCAATCGAAAGCAACCAGTCAACTTTTCATAGGTTCCAAGTATTCACAAACCCTCAATAATCTTTAAAGGTGTGTTTATACTTTACCTTACAGCATCTACCCTAAAAGAAAGAGAGAGCTCAGACACGAGTTGGGACTTAAGAGCAAAGGTTTGGATTTTTCAAGTCTGTCTTAATGCAATAATCATATTTACTGGGAGCTGTAATTATTCCTCATGTCCATACTGGGATGTGATCTCCTTCCTAGTGCGACTGTACTGCAATAGATGGGGGACAAAATCCACAGTATTCTGTGTAAAAATGTATTTTTAAGTTCAGCTGAAGGCAATATGAGTCTTCTGCAGTCTGATATAGTCAAAGAGAGGAAAAATCCCCAGAAGGTTTCGTACAAAATTCCCTCGCCGTGCTTCCCCAGAGATACTTCTTAGTGGTTGCATCTAGGTTTGTACCCAACGCCGGCAATGAAACTACATAAAAGATACTCGCTTGATCCGTCCGACTCAAACCGCTCATATTAGTCTCAGCTGAACTTTATAAGTCGTTTTTGAACAGAGGGAGGATTGTGGATTTTTGGCCCACATTTCTTAAGTGGAGTCACATTATAAAAAAGGAATCACATCATGGCCATTATGGAAAGGAGGGATGATTACAATGACCAGTAAGTCGGTGTGTCTTTAGCCCAACATGAAAATGTATTTGAATGGAAGCCAGACCGGTGACGCAGCAGGTAACGCAGAGGCTGTCAACCGGCTCAACTTTGACCGCAACATGTAATACGTGCCGTTTACTTTATGATCGTCGCACAAAAAAGATAAAACAACTGCTGCCATGCAACCAGAGTTGTTAAATCCTGTCTCGTAGCATTATAAACCGCTGTGCAGTGTTTCGCCGTCTGATAAGCCACCGCCAACGCAGCCCCAGGTGTTAACAGTTTTCTGTTTTCAGTCAGAACACCCGTTTACCCTTCGGACATGCATGTAACATGTGAAAATTGTATTAAGACAGACTTGATAAGATCTGAACCGATCCTTTAAGCCTCGTGTTTCGAGAGCACAGGTACTGTAAGACTGACCCATTGTTGGGCTGCCAAGTCCTCCAAAGGCACCAGAACCGAGCGCTCCCAGTGGGGTGAAGGGTGGGGATCGGCCATACAGATCTAAAACACAAACGCAGACAAACATCAGAAATACTGCGTTGATCCAAACGTTCATGGAATAATATTTCTACACAGGCGTTAAAAATACTGCTGACACTTCTGAAATACTTCCAATTAAATGTGAGAACCTTGACACAAAGATCAAAACAGTTCTACTGAATCACAGCTGAAGAGAATTTGTTATATTTATGTTAACAGTTATGGAAACTCTACCAACAATAAATATGCAACTGACCTTGCCCATTCATTAATTAAATCAAAATGAAAGTGAAATCTGGAGTGGATTCAAAGCGACAGACATTGTGGCATACAGATGTGCCTTTTTAAGCTGCTCTTACCCAAGTGTGCAGCTGGTGCGAGGAAAGAGGAGTGGGGCGTTGATGGAGAGATGAAAGGAGCTGAGGACGGATTGACTGGCCCTGTGGGAATGAAGTTGTAGTAAAAGAAAAAAGAAAATGTCACGAGCAATCAAGTCAGACGCGTCGAGCTACTCATACACTTCACGCTGTGATTCAAGCAATGCTGTGAAACCTCAGGGATGTGAAGACTGGATGGATCAAAAAGACAATAATGACAGGCGGTAAGAGAAAGCATTGGAGAGATCTTTAAGAAATTAGTCAGAATTATGTGTGCAGAAGTGAAACACGAAAACAAAACATACCTCAGACAGCCTGTAACACACTACTCAACATCCTGAAGTTGTCAAATCAACAATAAATTCACATTCTCTCAACTCAGAGACAATAAATGTTTAGACACACACCTGTCGCTGAGAACAGACTGGGAGGCCTGGTCAGATCATGAGTGGGAGGCAGGGCTCCTCCTATGGGCCCCAGGGGTCCCAGTCCCCCAGACTTGTGAGGATCAGCCTGCATCAGCTGAAAGAAACGGACAGGAACAGTTATCTCACTTTGATACGACTACTTTATGATTTTAATCTCTCAATGGGGCATTTCACTTGAATTTAATTTACCAAATCGGGGAAATTCCACACGTTTTCATTTAGAAACACGTACCTTTTCTTTTTTCTGATCTCTTAGAATCATCCAGGCCACGTATACATGCATAGCACACCATTTTCCTGGTTTCTGCACAGCACAAAAGAATCACAGGGGTTTAACTACGTATGTATGTACTATGTACAACTTAAAGCCTTTGCACACAGAGTCAGATGTTCTTCCGGTTGTTTCCGAAATATCTCGTCTAGCCTCAACACAAGGTTGGGGGTTTTCCAGCTGGAGATAACGTTACTCCCTAAAGCTCAGTATGAGTTTGGGAAGATAAAAAGTCAAGTGAAAAACGCAAAAGCAGGGATACAAGAAAATCACGGGTGATAGAACAACCACATAGATTATACACGGGGTAATTTCTGGGTCTGAAATATCTAACTGGGTGTGCAAGGGCAGAGAATAGACCAGTAGCAGTCCAGATTACAAGTGAGATTAATGCAAAGAGTGAGTGAAGCAGTGAGGAAGTAACAGGCTGAAGATTTTAAGGAGCCAAGGGATTCAAAAACATCTGTTTTTGCTTACATTACTGATTTTCAACGATGTCCCAAATGGATCAGTTAGCTACAAGAGAACAGAAGTGTGAAACCACTTTTAATCAACATATCTCACTCTTTATGAGGAATAGTGTTGCACTCTTTACTGCACTGACTAGCCCCATGTTGCAGCACATCCTAGCCTAACCTGGCTGTCCACATCTGTACAGTTATATGCAATCAAAAAGGAGGCAAACTTTATGTTTTAAGTAAGCATGTTGTCCTTACCCTGGGGTCTTTGGGCTGCAGGTGGTGAGGCACAACCCCAAGTCGTGCGCTTATATCAGGACCCGTTCCCTGAGGGACAAGAGGCTGTCACACACAGTACAACACATCAGCAACAACCTACTAATCTACTGACTGACATGTTATTTTCTGTCTTTTTCAGTGACTTTTGTCGCGTGTTCTCACTGTGACAGATTCTGAAATCACTTTGTCAGAAGTAAGGAGTTCACAGCCTCGTTTTACCTTGAAGCAAACATGTCAGTGCTCCTCAATAAATTATCCTCCAGCGTTTATTGTCTGGAATGTCCCAATTGTTATTAAACACGCTTCATATTTTCATCAGTGCGATCCCAGTGTGGGTGATTAAATGACTCTGGCTAATGACACCAGGTAATGTGAGATGTCCCCAGACAAAATGACGTCTACTGGACGCCGAGGAATAAGTAATATAAAGATGTGAAGAGTTTTTTTTCTCACCTTTGGCTGAAATGCTCCTTGCAAGGAGCTGAAAGGCCCAGTGGGAGGAATCACAGGCTGGATACTCGGCACTGAGGGCGGTGGGTATTGTTGGAAAAACTACCAGGACACAAACACACACATACATATATCTTAGTAACCGCTGAACAAGTTAATCAAATCAATGTTGTTTTGTGCGCATAAAACCTTGTTATTTTCTCGTTGTCTTATTGTTTAATCTGCTATTTATCAACACCTAAATAATCAGTAAGATTATACAAGTACTCACAGTGTGTCGGTACAGCCCGTCCATTTTGCCAGGAAACTTATCAAACTAAAAAAAAAAAAAAACACAAGCAGTGCGTGGGTTAAAACATCGCAAAAAAAACACATTCCAGCCACGCTGGAATTTCAAGTACGACACAGATGTTCAGCACAACAGCGGAGAGCATCTCACCAGAGGCGGTGCGGTAGCTGTGGGGTGCAGGAAGGGTGTGAAGTGTTGGTGTGTGTGCGTGTGTTGGTGCTGGTGGTTGTGCTGATGGAACTGGAAGGCCATGGGTGGGATGTTCGACTGGTTCTGCGACGTCCGGCCCGATGAACCCGGGGCGGAGCTCGATGCTGATGGACCACCGGGAGTGGAGCGGCCTGCAGCTGCTGCGTTATTTTCAGCCCCTGGGACGCTGCGTCTGCCCTCGCGGTCTTGTGAATTCAAGTAGTGTGAGTTTAAGTTGTGACGCATTATTTCCTGATCTAGAGTGGAAGGTGTCAAAGTGAGGGAGAGAAAAGAAATAACGTTAATTGGTGAAAATAAAACATTCACATCAAAATCATACACAGATTAGCTCTTAAAGGTGAGTAAACGTATAAAATATGGCAAATGTTGACATTATAATACATCATATCAGTATTTATAGTGAGTAGTAGTAGTAGTAGTATAGTGCCTGCTCTTATCACTTGCTAGAACTAGTTTGACACACAAGACTAACACATTCAGGATATCTAGTCTCCAAATACAATAAAGCACATCATGTAGCTTCTGCTTTATACAAGGACTGCAATACTCGCAGTGATCAGGCCTCACTTCATCAATAAATAACTTCCTCAACACCCGAGACAACCGCCAGAGGAAGTCTGGGTTTGGTTTATTTTAGTAACTTATTAGTCATCGTGTTCCCATGAACAGCTCAAACAGACCAACAGACTGTAGCAGCAGTGAAAAGTAGCTTTCCTGTTGACTGTACCTGCTGCAGTTGAGTGGGCAGGACCTTGGAGCAGAGGGGGAGGGGGAGGCAGGCCAGGTGAGGACGTAAATAGGGCCCCAGAGCTGGCTCGGGATGGGGGTCGGAGGGGCCCTGAGACTCCTGAGCCCCTGTTGTAGGGCAGCGACACACTGGTGGAGGGAGTCGGGGGGCGCATGGAGGATGAGGAAGATGCAACAGATGAAGCAGAGGAAGGAGGTTTGACTGGGGTGCTGCTCCTGAGAACAAAGAAGTATAAATAATGAATCAACTTTTCCATTTATAAACACTGAGCCAGCAGGGATTCATTGTAAAAAACATAAAAACAAAAAGGTACTCATACCTGTTGTAGATGGAGTGAGAGCGTCCAGGCAAACCGAGGAAGGATTTGGGTTTGGAGAGCGGGGGACTACCGTTGTGGCGGCTGCCGTTGGGCCGGGGGACGGTGCCTGAGGATTTGACCGGGGAAGGCAGGAAAGAGAAGGAGGTAGAAGAACAAACCGGCTCTGGGAAATGCTGCTCCAAGCTTTTCTCCTGGCTTCGCTCCAGGCCAGAGACTCTCGGGGTCACCATCAACCGCGAGACGCCGCCACAACGGGCCGGTAGAGGCGGGCAGCTCTTGCCCATCGATGTGCCCATGTTTGAGGGGGCAGGCTCCACAGCTGAAGAACAGAACAGTGTGAATTAGCGCTCAGGTTTAGAGGTAAAAGGAGACCAAATCCAAATTCCAAGGACAGTCAGAGCTGGTTCAAAATAGACCCGAGGAAAACTGGAAAAGTCTGATTCACGTCCAGCCCTAAGATGTACCCCGAGGCGTGGAAACTCATGCCTCAGGGTACACGTCATTACTGACTTAGCCAGACTATCACCAATAAGAAGTAAAATATAATATATATATAAGAATACACACATCACTCTGATAAAATCTTACAAAATGTATCAGCCAGCGAAGAATAAAAAATACACTAAAATATTGTTTTGATATAACAATTTTTAATACACTACACATATGATGATGTAGGATTAGAACTTTTAGAATAATATTTACAATTAATTAACTGAATGAACCCATAAAAAGAAGGAAAATAAAATTATATAATAAATTTCCTAGCAATAGATAAAAACACGAATAGACCGATGAAACGTTTCCTAATGAGCAACCAACGACAAGACATAAAGGAAAAAGCCAGCAAACGATACAAAAACATCATGGAATACCAAACAACTTTTCTTTCATGTCATAATCGCATCAATGTACAGCACAGTGTATGCTGTGTATTCTGATCTTTCATACTTTGGTATAATCGACTAAAATCGGCGCCAGTGTCCCGTTGACTTAAAACGTAATGACACAGGAAAGAAAGCAGTCACAGCTACTTTAATAATTTTCTGTTAAGATCTAAATATAGAGCGTTTACTGACACATCAATTCACTGTTTCATGAATGTGAAGCAGCAGAAATGAAGCAAACTCAATTTCTCATTACCTTTCCTAGTACTGACTGTGAAGACTGGGTCCATGTCATTGTCGGAGGCCTACACGGGAGAAACAAAGATTTAAATTAATACACAGAATTTGTCGAACCATATCAAGACTGAACCAAGTGCGACAATCTATTAAGCGAACCAACAAATGAATTACATCTTTACAAGCAGCAAGAGAACGAGTTTATCTTGTTCCTGTGCAATAATACTGTTTAATAGCGACAAAGTTTCTACAAAACAGGGCAAAAAGTGTCAAACATTCATTATCTGATGAAAAGAAAAGCCTGGAGTTAAGATTGATAACCATGAAGCTGCACACACCTTGTCTCCTGTATCGCTCTCTGTGTCACACTGGAAGAAGACGGGGAAAAAAGAAGACAATTCAGATCTACTCGAATATTTCAAACAACGTACAGTTTTTAAAGCAGTCTGCAGAAAGGCTGCACACCGATACACCAGAACATCATGTTCACTTCATGTTCACTTCATTATCAGGAAGAAAACTTACAATGTAGCCCGTCTCCAAAGGGTGTCGCTAGAAAAAAAGAACAGATAAAATTGTCTCTAATGGGTTTTCAAATATGTTTTAAATAATGCTAAATGGAAAAACTGATTATCAGTGATTAAAAAAAAGCGTATAAGAGGTTTACATTTACACGACTTTATTTCCTGCTTGTACAGAATCACCCGCTTCATTAACAACACCCTCGAACCGTGTGTGTGTTGAAAACCAGTTTTTCTAGATCACAATCGGTGTCAGGATATACAGGTCAGCAGCACCGCAGAAACGTACACACAGTATTTGATTAAGAATCAGCTCGACAGCTCACATGACGAGGCGAAGGCAGAGCCAGCCGCCGCTTTAAAGCTCAGTAGAGTCATAACTCAATTGTTCACCTCTATTCTTCTCCTCTTGTTTCGGCTTTTGTTCCAACAACTGCTGGAGTAGCTGTGCGGGGCTCCTTCCTCCGGCTCCGACAGCGGCCCCCCACCGTTCTCCTCTGGCCCTCTCTTCCCCTTGTTCCTCCTTCCCAGCATATCAGTGCGCTGACTGGGCTTCAGAGAGCAGTCCATCTGATAAGGAGAGAGGAGGAAAAACAACCAGCGTTTACGTGTCTACAAATAAACACGAATGTGTACGCCTGAGGGCAAAGACCACAGGTTAGCTGCACGCCGATTAATTTCCTGACAGACCTAATTTCTGCGTCGCTTCGACTCTTGAGTGATCGCAAAAATAGAAACACCAGAATGATGTAATGCAATACAGCAGCCTGCAGGAGACTATTGCTTCTGCTGTCTGTGTGTTGACTCGACTGTGTTTTGTGGCTTCGTCCTGTTGAACTTGTAATATTTTGTCCACTTTACTTTAACGTATTTAAAACAACAGCGTAATAAAACTCCTGTAGAGTTTAATCAATACTTTGCTGGCAAACGTTCAGAATGGGGGTGAAGAGAAAATCACAAAGGGACAGTATTAGTATACTGTATTAAAGTACAATGTGTAGAAGTTACGATCTTTCTGATCAATTATGATCCGAACTATCTCCACCAGGAGGTCCGAAGGTAAAAATTAGGAGTTAACAAGTTAGAAAAGAACTCCGCTAAACTAAATTATTATTATTTCTTTCACCCGTTTCAGGAGAAATGCTGGGAAGTATCGCCTCTTCGGGCCCTTTTTAAGGCTTGGCTATAAAAGGGTTACAAACTAAAAAAGGTTGAGAACCAGTGACTTAAAAAGGCGTCAAAATAAGTGAATGAGATCCAAATAAAGTAATTTCCAATGCACGAAACAAGTGCATAAACAGCTGGAAATTACAAGGTGTTGTTGCTGCATATATTGCTCAACTGCTTGTTGGTAGATAGACGTATAAATAAAGACTGTGAGAGCTTAAAACGGCCACATATTGTTATTATTCTGTTTGGTTGCAAAGTTATGAAGTTCCTGCTGTTTATTGTAGAAAGATACAGCAGATTGTTGCATTTGGGATGAATAAACAAATAAATAAATGATGTCTTAAAGAATAACTGAGCAGGAAATTCGAAATTCGGAAAAAGGAAATTGTCACATTCCAGTAAACGTTGGTTTTTTTTCTTCTATTAGCAGTTTCAGATGGTAACCAACCATCAATTTTTCACCTTCACGGGTTTATTTGACTGTAAAATCAAGTCACCCAAGGGAATAGTGGAACTGTGTGTGTGTGCAGTTTTGTGACGTACGCTTACTGACAAATAAATTTGGTTTCCTGTCCTGATGCAGATGTCACGAGACCCTGAGGGCAGACGAACTGATATTAAAGATTATTTCTGCGCCGCGTGTTAACGACGGGTAAATGTGTACACACACGTATGACGTATGTGCCAACTCATCGACTTCCTGTCCGTCAGGAATGAAAAGTATTATTATTAGTGAGGAGTACTTAACGTAATCTCCGCGGCGAGTGACACACAGTTATACTTTCTTCCCCCTTTCTGTTTCTGAAAAGCCATTTGGCAGCTCATCAACACCTCAAAGAATTAGGACATGAATAATTAAGGCCTCTCCAGAACCCATCAGAGGATGCCTTGGGGTTTGGGGTCGGGACTGAGTGGACGGCTTTCTCCTCAACGAGGAATGACGTCAGAGTAGAGAGGGCGAATAATCTCACCGGACGCTAAAGTGCAGAGAATAGGGATTATTTTATATATTTCGGGATAAAAAAAACACTAATTTAAGGTGGTGAATTCCCATTATTGTGAATATTCTCACTTGAAAAAGCTGTTTTTAGCTCGCCAGGATACGGTCCTCTGTTTGTTTCCTGGTTTATTTATTATTTTATTACACATTTAGGTTTAAAATCCTAAACCTGTCACAAAAAAAAGTTAAACCTGGATGTGTGGACAAGATCAGGGAGATGATGTGTCCCATCTGTGACTCAATCAATGTGTGTTTTCTTAAGAGAAATGTAATTTAAAGTGATTCCAGTATGTTAAAGTGTCATTTTTAAAGTAGGGAGAATATTTTAGGGCTGCAAGATATAATAAAAAACATCAAATTAAGATTATTTTAACAGATTTAAAGTTGTTAGTGCTGGAATTATAATTTTAGCATCAGAAATGTATTTTTTTAACAAGTCTGCAACAAATAAACGTGTTTTCTTAAACCTGGAGAAGATTTGTGGACTCTCTCTTTATAACTACAGCACATTATAATGTTTACTGTCACAGTTTGCCTCCTGTAATCTGCATATTGTGATTAACTGCAGCCCTTATTGCCCTGATAACATCTCTAATATTCAGGATAAAATAACTGTGACCAAATATTTCACTTCTTTCCTTTAGAGAGAACATTTAAGTTTCACTGCTTCTGCCCATCAACTCAAATAAAAGAGAGGAAATGAGCAGCAGCTGCCTGCCACGCTGCATTACAAACACTCCTCCATCACTGTGTTTATTCCAACGCGGAAAATAACCCACGTTTGATGCCCGACAGCTGATTCCTGCTGCGGGTAAACACACATTTACCTCCAGCGCCTCCAGACTGATAAAGCTCGTAATAGCGAAGCCATCGATGATGTCTTCCTCGCAGGACACAGACTCCCTCTTCCTCCGGCGGGGAGGCCTGTGTCTCCCAAACCCGGGCCGACACTCCCTCCCACCCGGACCCAGGACAGCGTTGGTCCCCTCCCGGTCGGAGCCGGAGGACAGGGACGTGGCCCGCTGCTCGGCCAGGTTCACCCTCCTCCGCCGCCGCTCCCTGTCGCGCTGTGATCGGGACCG